TGAGATCAGGATTATTGTTACTTTCTGATAAAAATACCGGGGTTTCACATGAAGGAGTTAAATCAAAACAAGCATCAGACCAAAAGTGATATCTGCCAATGCCTAGTGAAAGGCTTAACAGGAAGAACATGTGAACATAAATAGTTAGCTGTTGAAGAAGACTTTGACATTACTAGCTTTTGTGAAACATGGTGGTATGGCAAAAATCAATGGGAAACTTTAGTACCTGGCTATGAAACCATAGTAAAGAGTTTCACTGTAAGTGATGAGGGAATAGCACCTCAGCCTAGAAGCATCCCCAGAAAAAAAAGGCAAAATCAACAGCTCTACAGCAGAGTTTACAAACAGACATAAAATATTGCACATGGGAATACAAATACTCCCCAGAATTACCAGCTCCAGTATTTTTCACATTCAGACATGAAAGATCGTTTTTAATGTGTTAATTTTTCCTTTATTTAAAAACTTGTTCAGCTGAAAACCTTTTGTAAGTGCAGACTGTGGCTCCACAGCTCTTCCTTCTGCAGTCTGAAAGGCTTCTTCCAAAAATCTGCTCTTGTTGAGATTAATACAGCAGCAACTGTTCCTCACTTAAAATACCTGACTCCTGCCAGAGGTGAATGAATGTGCAGAAGGAGAAACAGGCTAGAGCCCATCTCCTCACACTGCTCCTGGTCATGACAGGCTGGCCTGCTCTGCTGCTCCCTAACCACATTGCAGGTGTTTCTGGTCCTGCCTCCCAGGGCTGGCTGCCACTTGAACCACAGTTAGAACAGCAAATTAAACTGTGGAGGAAAGAAGGTAAGGACATGAAACACAAACAGTGTTCTCGTAGTGGAGGTGAGGGAAGCAGTCAAGTTAATATGTGAAAACCAGGCATAATTGGTGGGAAAAGGAAAAAAAGAAAAAAAAAAAGTAAGTGGTGCCAGTTAAAGTGATTGCTTCATAATGATGTGTGTTATAACAAGAAACTTAGTCTGTTAACATGGGAAGAAAGCTGTACTCTAATAGGCAGGACACATGAGACAGCTTAAGGTCTGCAAGTAATATTTTTTTTCCTTGTGGAGTGTTCCAGAAAGATCTTGATGCAAAAAAACCCACCTTGACCACACGATCAATTGTTTGATTCTTCAAGTCTTCAACAGCTTATGTAAAATAAGTACATGCAACCTTAAATTTGTAACAAAGGAGAGTAAACAGCAACTTGCTAGGGAATTTATTTAATCTCTATATTCAATCTGACAGTCCTCTGAATGGCAGTCTGCGCTTCTTGAGAAGCATAGGGTTCATGTTACTGGTTGATTCAGAATGCCTATTATAATTGTGAAATATTGGTGGGAATGGATAGAGATATATTCATGACAGTAGGTGGACTAATGAAATTCAGTGACTTTATTTAAAATGTGTAGGAGTTTATTATAATACTGTAATAGAAATGTCATTTATCCTGACGGGAGGAGAGGGAAAAGCCCTGTCAATGAATAATAATGAAGTTATTTAAATGTCAACTTTCTTGCGAATAGTTTGCAAAATATAAATTACTCTACATGTTTCTAGCTTTGTTTTAGTTTATTACTGGGAAAGGCAGAGCTTCAATCCCAGAATGGTGGTATTTTTTTATACTGTGAAATGAGCTAGTAATAATGAAAATCTTTATCTACTTGGGTGTTTGCAGAAATCATTCTGTTTTACTGAAAAATAGGGAGTCAGATTTTAAACAGCTGCTGATAAAATTTGGGATTTAATGGAAGCAATTACAACTAATATGGTGGGACAGGTGTGAAGTTCAGAATTCAGTCTAAATACTTTTTTTCTGAATATTATTCTTTTACTATCATCTGCATTTCAGTAACATCCACAATCTCCAAACACGGATTTGAACATACTCCCCCTCGCGATTTGGGGAACCATTGCAGCACACACATCTACACTAGAGACAATAAAATAGGGCTTACTGTTCACCATTTACGTATAGCTATTTCAGTACCTGTGGCTATTCAGCAGATGGTTCAAAGACAGAGTTTAATTTTTGTGTTTCCAGCTCCACAGGCCCTGGGTTTAGTCCTTTCCCATGATTTATACAAACATTTGCTTACTCCTCTCACGTTACAGAGATGGACTAATACCGAGTTCTCTCTTCAGAACTTCAGAGAAGTATTGTCTTCCACAAAAAGTGTGGGAGATATTTTTTGGGACCTATCCACTCCCCTTCAGATGACTGGGATTGAATTTGTTGATCCTACGCTGTCATTAGTGCCCACACCCTGCTGAGGTTCATCTGTCTTTTGCAGCACTCCCAGGTTGCCCTGACTTCCTGGATTTTCAAACAGCTGATATGTTTCCATGGGTTAGGGTTCTCATGCTGCTTTATACACCCATTTAATAGCACAGACAAAAAGCTCATTATCTAGGCTGCTAATCAATGTCTGCTTGTATACATACATGTATAATAGGAATAAGATGAATGCAGATTGGTGATACTCCTGGGTCAGATCCCAAGAGAGGCTTCACATGTATGCAATGTTCCATTTGATACAATTTTTTCTGTTCCACTGCTCTGTGTATCTATTACCATTTCTTTGTGTTAAAGCACTACTGGGTTCCTATCTGCTGTTGTATATGTAACATTTAGCTCCCTGTTTAAATAAAGGGTAATTGTAAAGCAGTGCAAGAGAAACAACTGGTAACTGGGAAGGTGGACAGACTGGCTATTTGTCAGTTTGGAACTTCATAATGAGAGTAAGATCTAATAGTAGCTCCTTTGATTGCTTGCGAATTTGCTCATCTGCAAAAAAATGATGTTTTTCTAAGCTTTCCAGTCTTTCAGTTTCTTTTATAGATGTTGACAGAAGTACATTCTTCATTTGTATATAGTGTAACCTGTAAATAAAGCTATGAATGCAAAATAATTGCCTAGAGATTTGAAGAAAGAAATGGCTGGCAATTCTGACTATGATTACCATTTGCTGTTGACATCAGTTCGCCTGTGCTTTGGCAGGGGTACTGGCTGCTTTTCTTGAACAACTTCAAAGCAAGTTTTATGTCTCAGATTTTCTTTGCTCCTATTCCCTTTTGAAAGATCTTATTTTGAATTCATTGTCACCGGTATAAGAAAGAGCTGTATTATTTCATTAATGTATTTTTCCTAGTTCTGCAGGTCAGATTTAGTCCTTACAGTCTTTACATGTCTTTATCAACTCAAACTTCGCTAAAAGGGTAGGTTTTGGGTTTTAGGTAGACAGCATCAGAAATACTAATTTCTGAGAAGACTGGGTGGTGAGGTGGGGCAAGGCAACGAGCTAAAGCAGCAGTCCTTGGCAAGGCTGTGTTCAGCATCCTGCTGTGGATCCCTTCACCTGAATTCTGGAGCATCTCTGAAAGATTTGTTAATAGTAATAATCATAACAGTATTGTACTGCTCGGTCCACTGAGGAAATAGCTCAGTTAATTTATAAGTGCTCGGAGAGAGATGACCTTATAAAGGGAAAGATCAATCAGCAGGTGAGAATTTGATGTTAATGCTCCAAACACAAAAGGACATATATGCACACACATGTGCATGTGCTTATTGGGGGAAAAGAAAAAAAATCTATGGATGCAAATTATATGTCAGTTGTTGTATGAGCAGGCAGATACATGCAAAGGCTTCTATAAAGTTGCTGAATAGAAAGAATCAATTTTAATGCAAATCTACATTTCAGTGCAATTCATCTTTAATGGGTAAAACCCCAAACTGCTGCTTTCTTGTTTTATTCATGCAAAATCTGAAATCCCAGAAGCTGTGGTATGAATGTAGGTGTGGAATCTAAAGCAGAAATTTAACAGCCTCTATATTTAAAAGAACTCACATCCCCCTTCCCCCCCCCCCAAACCCCATTAAGTGTCTTAAATAACTTTGTAAATTTAGTCACTGTTGACCAGATAGGAAAAATCCTGCAAATAATTGGTACCAAGAATTTACTTCAGAATCTCTGGTTTTGGAGTACTTTGCACAAAGGATGTAACTGCTTGGAAGTGAAGTTCAATTTGGAGCCATTTATACATGTTACAGATGAGTACAGGAATGTTGTGCTTTTAAAAGTCTCTGCTACCCAGGCAGATGTCATTTTTCTGCAATTTATGGATACAGCCCAAACCAGTACAGAGTACCAACTGTACTGGTTTGGACTGATTATCTAAATCCCCAGGATACAGGGACAGAATTCAGACAAGCATGAGCTGCATAATGAACAAAACCTCTGCCGATGATTGTCCCGGATTCCATTCACATGTTGAGAGTACATGTTAAAGGAACTCTGCACAGTCTTGTTTTTTCACTTCTTTTGTTCCTCTCCAAGCCATGAAGTCAGTGTCTTTATGGGAAACCCTCATACCAGGAATAGTTTATTTTCTCTACCAAATGGTGGCTTTTGAAGGAAGAATAAAGCATGTATGCTTACTCTCTGCTAGTGAGTGTGAAAAAACCTCCCACAACAAAAAATCAAACAATATATAAACTGTAGGTGTAAAGTTCATGTAGTTAAGTTTTCAAAAGGGCATTGATGATTTTTGCAGAAAATTGAACTACAATTTCACTGAACAATCAGTTGGAGAAGCTACTTTGGAATACAGTAAGATATCTTAACAAAATTAGTCTAAGCTTGGAGGATAAGATGAATTGTTAACCTTAGTCTCTTGCTGTCTGCTATTTGGCATCTTTGGCAATCATTATAATCTTCTACATGCAGAATTTAGCATTTCTTATTGTACATGTTTGTTTTAAAATGCTTTGGGAAGATGCTGGTTTAATTTTTCCTAATCTAATTTAAATGCAAATTATAAACACTCACATGGTGCTATGTGTATATAATTAAATATCATTATATACTACATGAATCATTGAAAAAGCTCTAGAGAGCCATTCTGCTATTTAAAGCATGACTTATATTGAAAAGCTGCCAAGTGACTTGTGGTTTTGTGATTAAGTGTTTGTACTTATGAAAATCTCTTTTGAATTGTAGGTCAACAGATTATGGGACAACATACGAGAAACTGAATGATAAAGTTGGTCTGAAGACTATTTTGAGCTACCTGTACGTTTGCCCAACAAACAAACGTAAGGTAGGTGATAATGTGGTTGGCTTATTTTGGCTTTATGATGCTATTTCTGTCCAAGAGATCTCTTCCAATTTCCTCAATATCTGTTACTATTTAAGTGGCAGGAATATCTCTCTTCCTGTCTTGCCTTGAAAAGTTGTGTAGCTTTATCAAGATATAAACCAAATTGTACCACCTATGCTACCTACCAGTATATTTTAGAGAACATACTTTAGGGAAAGGTGACTATTAAATGAATAGGTGTAATAGGCATTTAATTGTTTCCTTACCTTCTGGAAGGTGATGATTTTGTTGGCTGAAAGGGAGAGGGACTCATTAAAATGGCAGAAATGCATCTACAGTGACCAGATTTTATGTAACATTATTTGTCTTTTAACTGCTCCCAATAGTGAACTGAACAGGATTTGACAAATTCCTGCACAGAAAATGCCTTCCGAAGCCCAGAAGGTTTTAATCATCCAGATACCCTACTGACTAACAATTTACTAAGAATTTGTAACACTGACACGTTAAAAAAAGGATTCTGGATGCCTTCTTTGAGATACATTTTTTGACAAAATTTTTGTAATTTGGAGGTAACAGGAAGAGACGAAGCACAGTTCATAATGATAATGATGACTTGTACTCTCATATAGGCTGTGTGATAGGCAATCATTACTTACTAGTGTTTTGGTGTGGAAACTAAAAAACAGTATTTAAATCATCCTGAAATTACTAGCAAGTTATTTTCGGATCTGTCCATACATTGGTTCAAAAGGAAAAGCTCATACTTTGGTTAAAGAAAAAAAGAAAAAAAGAAAAAAAAAGAATGAAAATAAAACGAAAATGTGATTAAATAAATGGCAGTATTGGCACCACTGTCCCCTTGACTTTCCAATCTAGGAGACTACAGTGCATATGCAGTGGGTGGAAGGCCCTACTCCAGCTCATTTCCAGAGGGAATGTGAACATGGCCACAGTAGTTTTCTATTCTTTGCTTTCAGTCCTCTTGCATTGTTTGAGACTGTGAAAGGAAGAGGGAGCTGTCCTAACCAGAGAGGACAATGCTTAGCAGATTAAATTGCAATTAAATGGTTCCAAATTAGTGAATGGATGTCATCCCATTGCATCTGACCCCCGATGAAGATAAGAAGCTGTCCTCTAGAAGCTAAAAATTAAATTATCGGATCACTTAAATGTCCTTCAGCTCTGAGGTTTGAAAAGGTGGTCTCCTGAAACAGAAACTGTGGTGTGGAGAATTATGTATCTTTCTTTCTCTCTCTCTCTATATGTATATATATATATATATATATATATCTAAAATCATGCCTGATGTTTGTTGGAGAGTGATAATACTGTTCTCTAGAGCTAAGGGTTTCAGCTGGGAAAAATCTGTAGGATCCCTTAGCAATGGTGCTGCAGAGAAGGCTAAGAAGAAACTAAGAGTTTTGCAAGCTTGTTAAGCCAACTGGCTGACCTGAAAAACCTTCATCATGTCTGGCTGCACCTTCCCTCTGTCTCCCTTGCACTGCCACCCTTGTTTGTGTTGCCATCTGGTGAGCTGGATCGAGGACTAATCTGCCTGAAAAAAAATCCCTTTCCAGCTCAAAACCTAAATAGATGAAAGGAAAAAGCTTTCAGGTAGAAGTGTGGAACTATCTGTTCTGGCAGCAGACTGCACTAAAGTTGGCCTATAACCAATATGGGACAGTGCCAGAGGAAAGCTGCAGCACCTGGGATAAGAGGACCTGTGTAATGGTCTAAGATTGAATTTTTCAAAACTTCTTTCAGCAGGAGCTGAATTAGGCTTGCAGGGAAACTTTTGGAGGCCTGACTTATGCTGTCTATTTCTGCAGAACATCAGGCCATTCCTTCAATAAACATTTCACTTTAGGCACTTAGCTAGTCCCCCAGGTTAAGAGGGCACTGGGAAGAGAGTGTAGAGCTACATTATGTTTCCACACTAAAAACACTTCTGTACTAAACCTCAAGGTTTTTATTATACCTGTTGTGGAATGAAAAGCTGAAGTAAATATATTTACAAATTTTGCCACCAAAAACATTTTTAGCAAAAATTATGTATCCTGAGACCCGATCCGCTCTTCTCCCCTGAAATTTTGGTAGAACTTCCAGAAACCTTGGTCACTGAAAGTTGAATCTTGTTTTGCTGTTGTAGGCTGGGTGGGTAGCTACAGAAATTGCTTTAAAATGTGGAGCTCAACTACTCTAAACTCTGTGAATTTTATAACACTCAACTCTTCACGTGAAGGGATTATACACTACTGCAGTTAATACCGGCAAATGCTAACTGCATTTTCCCTAAATATGTGTTATATGTGCTGTTTTTTCTGACTACACCTGTGGCCTTTGCTGTCCTTTGCTCCACAAGGCATTCCTTAGCACAGAGAAAAGGCTCCTTCTGTAGTGGAAAAGAAATGGTGTATTTTTTCTCTTGAAGTTATTGGATATGAGACCTTGGTACAGCAGTGATCCATAAGCGGGGTCAGCATATACTTAACTTGCTGAAACTGCCTTATCTTGGAAAAAAAATTATTTTAACGCACGTTTAACTTTTAGGAATAGTTCTGTTGAAACAGAAGGAAAATTTTGAACTTAGCTGACTCAAGACTGATTACTTCTGATGAAAAAAACAAGTGTATCATCTATGGATATATGTCTTGTCTGTTCTTTGCAAAGCAGAGCAATAGGAACAGTGAAATGTAGAATGCATGTAATTGGATTTATTAAAACAATTGATAGATTTGTTAATGAATTTCTGATTGTTTTCACGTTTTGGAAAAGAACAAATGACAACATGTGTTGAATATATTGGTTTTTTAAATTTATTTCCTCTTCTACATCTAGAAAAAAACCTCTATAAATACCCAGTATTTGCAAAGCTTCCCACAGTCCGTGAACGCCAATTTATTTCTAAAAGCATCTGACTGCCAATTCTTACTTCTTTATTGAACAAATTTAAATCCTTTAACCAGACATTGTAGGCAATGTTATGTTGCAAAAGGGTGCTTTGAAAACAAAAATCAGAACAAAGTCAACCATTATTTACAATTTAAACTGAAGACCTATTGCTGTTGCTTGGCATTTTTCTAAATTGCAGTATTTTATGAAGGAAATGATAGAAAATGGTGACTAACATAGTGATGTATAAGCCCTGGCAATGAGAAGTGGAAATAGTTTTTTAGTATTCTCTCCTTACATTGAATTACTGTGCTACCTGGTCGTATGACTGATGACGCAGATCGAGTGAAAAAAAATGTTACACGTGGATCTTGCCCAAGACACAGAACCCGTTTGAGTATTTGTCAACAAACCTCCAGAAGAGAGAATCCCCAATGCGCAATAAATCCCTAGGCTTAGGTATGTCAACACTGGTTTATTTGTTAGGTTCACAGAGCGTTCTGTGAAGAGAAAGAAAATAATTTGAATGTTTCTACGTGAAGAAATACAGTTTGACCATAATTCTGGTGGGTTAAAAAGTAAACTAAAATAGAAATCCAAGTAGGTATCTTGAAAATCCGTTTTCACATGCTCTGTCGTTTTCCTAGGGACTCACATGCACTAAGTTTTACAGTCTTTGTAAAAGCCTTTCAGATAGGTTGTTTTTACCAATTTCATGGAAAATCGTAGACATAAACACATAAAAAGTGAATGAGTGGTGATGGGGACTCTACAGTTTGTTTAACTATAGGGTTTTTTTTGACTCAGAAAGTGATGCTGCCTACTTTAGACCACTGTGTCCTTGTAGAAAGCACACGGTGTTCTTTGCAAAGAGCCAGTTTGTGCAACCCGTTCATTCCTTGTACTTGCAAGCCTCTTGTATCTGTTTATCTTCAGTTAATTAATAAAATGCTGAGTGATAGTATCTGCCAGAAACTGTTATGCTATTAATAGGTCTAGTGCATCAGATATTTCCTGTGGGTTTGAATTTTTGTGGTATGTTTTTGGTGTTTGTTTGTTTGTTTTATTTTCTCTCTTCCTTTCTGCAAGCCTGCCTTGATTTTTCCCTTTATTTCTGCAACGGTTCAGATTTTAATTGCTGTTCAGTACAGTGTCCTCTTTTTTTTAACTCTCTCTTTAAAGATGAATGGATTACAGATGCCTTCCTCTTCCTTTATTTTTAGTGCTTCAGTTTAGTACCTTTATCACAGTGTGTGAAGCACTGTCCTGTTGTGTGTGTGGCTCCAAGATAGAAGATATTTATTGTAAATATAATTGCATGGGTTTCAGTGCTGGCTAGATCCCCAGCTACTTAAAATTTATTTCTAATAATGAGTTTTAAATGAAAGGAAATGAAAGGAATGACAGCCTAACCTTCTGTTCATTCTAGCATTGGGGGGTGGTGATGCACAGCATAGTTGGCAGATGTTTCTCTTAGTCACGACTGTAGAAGATTTAACCTTATTAGCTGAAATAGGAATGACTGAGTGCTACTTTCTATCCTGTGGTGTTATATGAGTTGATTTGCTTTAAGAAACTCCTGGTTTTGGAACATAAACTGCCCCCTTGTTTAAAGGGTAAGACCCAGAACTCTGTGCTTTGCACTCACCTTTGTACCTGCTCTTCTGAGGGTTAGGGCAGATTCTGTAGAGATGAACAGTTGTACAGTCTGCTACCCTCAGTTGCTAAAATCAGATTGGGAACACTTCTAAGTATTCTCTCTCTGACCTGTCTCACCATGGAAGCTTTCAGAACTCTGATGTGATGACAGGTCTTGATTTTTTCAGTCAAGGAAAAACTGTTATTTCCAGTGGTGTCCTCCTTGTAAGCTTCTGTAAATTGTAGTGTGAAGGCTATCTGTTTGTATTAGAGAGCTTAGAGCTCAGCAGAGCTCTAAGCATGCCTCACTGTAGAGTGAGATCCTGTGGTGGTCAAGGGATGGCATCCTTAGCAAATTAGGTACAGTGGGAAACCCAGGTCTATTCATCATGCCAATAACCCAATGTGTGATTGCAGTCCACTCTTGCTGAGATAAAATCAATTATTTTCTTACTCTCCTCTTTTCA